TTAATGAGCCCATTCTCATTTGTTCCTTTGCACCATGTATGTTTCTAAATTAGATGACATTTTAGTTTTTGCTTCTAACTATTGCATAGTAGTATGCGGTTTTCCATAAAATTCCAGACCCTGCTTTCTCAGAGACCAAAAGATGGAGTAAGGAGATACTCTGAGTGAGTTGAGAGGTAGGGTGGAACTGTTTCTCTGACATCAAAGGCTTTACAGTCAGGGAGAGGGTGTGGGGGAGGGGCAGTGTCTGTGGAAAATGGCAGTTGGTCATCAAGAGATGAAATCTAGATTGCCAGGAACCCAGTTGAAAGCAGCTCACATGTCTATGAGCAGACATTTCTGTGCCCTGCCAGAACTAAGGGGGAAGAGCAGAAATGTAGACTACCCATCTTTGGGAGCACCTCCTTGGGAGGGCACAGTGGGAATGGCCTTCCGGGGCTGTGGGGTGCATAAGGGGGCATGTGAAGCCCAGTGAGATGGAGTCAGTGGGCCGGAAGAACAGTGTGTGTTGTTTTCTGCATTCTAACACACATCGTATACAGCTATTGTTTATACAGTAAATACTTGTTGATGTCAGGGGTCCAGTATTCTAAGTTTATAAACATCTTGTTTATAACTACAGATCTCATGCTGTCAGTGATGTTGAGTCCAAAGGCTTAATATGTTTTTATGTGTAACATCTATTAACATCTATTATATTTATAATCTAATGTTTTTTGTTTTCCTTTTAATTTTTTGTTTGTTTTTTGAGACAGGGTTTCTCTGTATTTTTTTGGAGCCTGTCCTGGAACTCGCTCTGTAGACAAGACTGGCCTCGAACTCACAGAGATCCACCTGCCTCTGCCTCCCGAGTGCTGGGATTAATTGTTTTCCTTTTTAAAAAGATTTTATTTTAGCTGGGCTGTGGTGGCACACACCTTTAATCACAACACTGGGGAGGCAGAGGCAGGAGGATATCTGTAAATTTATGGTTATCCTGGTCTACAGAGTGAGTTCCAGAACAGCCAGGGCTACAATAGAAACCTCTCTGGAAAAACAAAACAAAACAAAAATTATTTATTTTTAAAATTATTTGTATATGTCTATGTGTAGTTTTGTACAGATCCCCTGGTGGCTGTGTGGGCTGCCTGGGATGGGTGCAAGGACTCCATCTCAGGTCCTTTTTGAGAGTGGTACACTTTATAACTGTCTCTCAGCCCCAAGTTTTTTTTCTTCTTTGTAAAAGAGTTTTATTTTTAAGTGTGTGTGTGTGTGTGTGTGTGTGTGTGTGTGTGTGTGTGTGTGAGAGAGAGAGAGAGAGAGAGAGGGCCCCCAGGTATGTATAAATAGTCACATACACAGGGTTTTTTTGTTATTGTTTTGTTTTTTTAAAGCAGTGTCTCATGTAGCCCAGGCTGGCTTTCAACTTACTATATGTAGTCTAGTCTGGTCTGGATCCTTCTGCCTCTACCTCCCTAGTACTGGAATCACAGGTGTACAGCCCACACCTGGCTCAAGGGCTTCATTTTCATAGCTTCAGCTGTTAATCAACATTTTTTAAAAGATAGATGCTGTGACTCCTGATTGAAAGGAGACAGTGAGAGGAGAGAAGCGACGTTCACGCCCACGACTGAGAGCACCAGTGATTGTGTCGTGCAGCCTGTATTAGCTACTGCTTCCATGTATATCTGCACACCAGAAAAGGGCACCAGATCTCATTACAGATTACCACAACATGGTTGTGAGCCACCATGTGGTTCCCGGGAATTGAACTCAAGACCTCTGGAAGAGCAGTCAGTGCTCTTAACCTCTGAGCACTCTCTCCAGCCCCAAAGATATTTCTTTTCTTTCTTTCTTTCTTTCTTTCTTTCTTTCTTTCTTTCTT